AATCCTAGTAAGCAAATGATTCAACACAGAAGGAAAGTTCTATACAAAGCAAGTTCTATATATGAAATATTATACAATAGAAAGAACTCTATTTGCAAAGAAAGTCATGTATGGGAAGAATTGGAGGACAAGCAACGCGAGTCCTACTTTAATTCTACCAATTTTGTGTATAAATAGAGGCCCAGACCTCCAGTAAAAGGATCCAAGCAATTCTATACTTCTCTATACATTGTTCTTGTTTATTTTTACTATTCTTGAGTGTGTTGTATTATTTTTCTCAATCGTTAGTGGTTGAGCGGAATTTTGCACCTACATCTATGAACTGCAACACAATTAGAATTAAGTTTGGGTTGAGGTGCTAACAACCAATGCATAACCCAAAATTTTAAATATGCCAAGTGGTAGATCATGTACATTCCTAACAAATAAAGAATAAAAAATTAATCTACAAATTACCTAATGTGGTACAATATGTTTATATAAAAAAAGTTAGTCTAGCAATCCAAAATTTAACCCAAAATTTTCGATTTGTAAGACGGAATTGATCCTAAACTAAACCATTTAAGAATGGATTGGACTTGAGTTGGTTAGTTCAGATTGAAGGTCAAGGTAGGTTAAATAGTTCATATGTTGAGTTGAATTTGAGTTGTACCTTGAACGCATCCATTCCGCCCGAGTTGCACTCACAATGCTAACAAATGTTTTACCAGAGGACGATGTATCAATTGTAAAATTGCAAAACAACCTAAAATTTTGCGGACGAGTATAATATATAATGTAACATTTTAGCTAAATAAACACACACACACATACACTAAACCGATCAACTACAGACATATCAAGTCGTCGTCATTGTTTCATTACTGGTGGCAGTGATGATTGAGAAGAAACTCAAAAAAAAGAAAAGAAAATAGGGACAATTTAGTTATTTCACATTTAATTAGTTTTTTACTTAATTTTTATTCAGTTATAGAGGGATACTTTAGTTTTTCAGCATTCAGGTTCTTGTTTGCTCTAAAATGAAATGTTATAGACTTTTTAGAATGTATAGTAGGTTTTACACTCTATATGCATGCCATAGGGTTATTTTTCGTTCACGACCCATTAAAAAAACAACATGGGGTAAATGATAATGTGCCAAAACATTGTTAAATGCTACACAACGTTAGTATTAGGGATCAAGTGTAATTAAACAATTTTTTTTTCCCTGGAAATAACAACACAAAGGAAAGAATAGAGACACTAAAATTCAATAATAACATCATTGTGATGTTCCGGATTTTTCGATATTCCCCGACCATTTTTTTTGTTTGTACATAGGGAATGTGTGCCACAGTGTTCCAGGAGTTGTTTGGGATATTTTTTTTGGGTTTAGAACCATTAGAAATTCATTTGGGTTCCTTTTGATCAGTTTCGATTTTCGTGCTGAGAGGTCTCGTGGGCCTATTGATAGATTTTCGTGTTCAAAATTTTTTTCGACACCACTATGCTCTTCATTTACGTAGGGATTAACCGTTTTGCACTGAGTTGTGTCGTTTGCGAGTGTTTGGAACTTAAACGGGCTATTTTAAGCATTTAAGTGGGAGGCGGGACCCACGGGTTGACTTTAGTATATAAGGAAAGGACTAAGCTCATTTTCGGCCACAAATCATTTCATTTCCTGTCTTCACCAACCGTGGCCTCTCTTTCTCCCCCTTATTCTTTTCTTTTCTTTTTCCTTGTACATGCTTCAGGCATGGATTGCATCTAGCTCGGGTAAGATTTTGGCGATGCCGTAGAAGGGAATGTTGACTAGCGCGACGAAAGCTATGTGCCTATGGTCTCAGATTTTGATTTGGAGCATTTTGGAGATTTTGGGTGAAGACGAAGTTTGAATTTTGGAGGCGCCGTAGATGGATTATTTGATTTCCTTCGCCTCCCCTTTCATCCTACGGAGGCGGTTTCACGAGGAAGGCACTTTGGTTTCAGTAGGATTCGGATTTTCATCCTAATTTGAGGTAGGTGTGTCTAATTCATGGAGTCTTATGTTTTTGTGAGTCCTTATGTGATGATTGTGTGATGTGGCTTGCTATAGATACCATGTTTTTAAGGAATTGCTTAACTATGTAAAAATTTAAGTCTTTGTCTTGTATATTTGATGTTTAATCATATACTTATTTACGTGTTATCTATGTGGAGAAATTGCTAGCATGCTTTATATGATGTAAATGTGCCAATTTGTATGTTAGAATGATTATGTGGATGCATGCTTAAAATAAGGAAATTATAAATGCTTTATGATGAAATTGGTAAAGTATGTGTATAACATGATTTGGATATAGCTTTCTTGATTTTAAGTATGTTTGATGTTTGACAAGTTGATTTCGTGAAGTAACTCATTGGGTTTTGTTTGGGTTAAAGGATGCTTGTATAATGTGTTATTGATGTTGTTGGATGGCATATAATGCTAGCTAGAAACTAATCAATTTAAGTTAGAATGAGGCAATTAATGAGGTATTTATAGATCATGCATTGGGTAGGCAATACGTGAGCGAAAGGATGATGTGTGAAGGAAAGGAGTCAAGTTGAGGATAGTTGTGATGGACAAAATACAAGCGATGGTCTTGTTTTCGAGATTTTAATAGCTAGGCCCCAAATGGTTGGATTAGCGGTGGTGTCACGGCAGGGATAGCTAACCAGTGTTCCAAATGGTGGTAAGTAGACTTGTGTCATTTGGAGTTAGAAGCCTTTAGTGTGGATTTGTATAATGAGATGGATTGGTTGGGAAAGTGCTATTGTGTGTAGGATGAGATTATGGGATTGGTTCGAGGTGGATTCATGGTGTTTGGCCACAAAAATTCCGTTTGTTCCAAAGTGGAAATGTGAAAGGTGCAGGCGTGGCAGGATTCGCGGATAATCTAATGGAGATGGAATAGCACCAAACTATATTCCAAATCTGGCCTTGGGAGGCTTGAAGATCAGGCAATTGTGGAGAGCTTGGAATGACCGCTCTCGCTAGGTTCTTTATGCCTTTGTGGAAAAAGACTTTAAAAATGGAAAGATGGAATGGAAAAAGAAGGAAATGCTTGTTGAAAGTGCTGTTGGAGTATTGAAATGAATTGAATTGAAAGTCTGAAATTCATTAAACTAGGAACTAAAGTACAAGTGCTAAAAATTAAAGGAATTGAAATGTATGTGCTAAATTAAAAGTGCTTGAAAAGTAAGATTACACTATAAAAAGATAATTAAAGTGCATGAACTGAAATGAAGTATAAATGAAAATAGGAGTTGTTTGATCTGTGTGGAGATGCCTTTTATTTTGTCCAAGTCTTTTATTTATAGCTAGTGGCAGTTCCATTTATTATTAAGATGCTGTCAAGTGGAACATCTGATTTGTGCCAAGTGGAATATTTGATTTTTGCCACGTGTAACATATATCCCTTAGTCTTTTCACAATGTTGACACGTGTAAAAACATGATGTCCCATGAATTACAGCTTTGAATGAGTGGTTTTGGTGGTTCAATTCTAATTGAAGGCTTCTAGCCACGTTCTGAAACTGTCAAATGGAATGAACCATGATCTCCTAACTGCCTGGAACTGCGTCTAACTTGCAGGTAACTGCTCATTCACTAGCTGCCACGTGTCGACTTGAAAAGTCATATGTTTTTCAACTTTAGGTAACTGCTTTCCTCTTTGGCTGACACGGAAATGAATAGTCTTTTATAAATGTAAATGAATTTTGATAGTGCAAAATATGGATCGAAAACTTCTCTAGAGTCCTATATTTCCCATTGCCAAATAGTGCACTTCGGTGAAAAAAAAAATTAAACTAAATAGGAGCACAACAGTTGTGGTAGGACCATTAGTATGGGAGCACCTCACAATTTTAAATTTCTCAGAAAAGTAAGATGTCATCCTAATTATGGCTTATCAAAGGTATATATTTTAGGCCTTAGTGCACTGAATCCCCCTCTTGTTTTTTTTTTTTTTTTTTTGACATCATAATACCCACTCTCATTTTTTTTAAGCAACAAACCACCGTTTGTTTATTAAATAAAATTACATAAATATCCAAAATAAGGAAATTGAAATAAATAAAAAAAAAGAAAGAAAGAAAATAAATATTTTAAAAACAAAAAAGACCATAGCAAAACCAACCTTTCACCAGTTGAGTTTTGTTGTTGGGAAAAAGAAAAGAAAAAAAGGTACACCTCATGGAACCCTAATAGAGCCATCTACAGAAAAAAAAAAAAAAAAAAACAAACCCTAATCGAATTGATGTTTGGGATCAAAGACGAATCAAACCCTAGTCGAGTTGTTATTTATATTTTTGATAAAGGTTTTAGCGTTTTCAATTTGTCAGTTTTGAATTTTTTTTTTTTTTTAAAAAAAAAATTCAACCATAGTATATGCAATACATAAATGCGTGTGACGAGAGTTTTAGGGTTTTCAATTTGTCAATAAGGTTTTTTTTTTTAATGTTTTTTCTTTTCCATTCAAATAGTAGTATGTGCATACATTTATGCTTGTGAAAAGGATTTTAGGGTTTGCAATTTGTCAACGGTTACCTATTAGTTCAGTATAAAAAATTGATGTTTCCATGCATGAGTGCCTATATATTAAGGATTTTTTTTTATAAAACAAATTCAAATCGGAAGATCCAAATCAAGAAGTGAAAGATTATTTGTAAGGATAATTCTGTCAAAAATAATAAATTCATGATACACCCCTTTGCTCCAGTCCATTTGATTTATCGGTAACCAAATATATATATATCAGTTTAAATCTATCATTTATTAAATTCTTCCAAGTTGGATCATTATTCACCATGTTTGGAATTCCACATGCAGGACCAACAATACAAAAATCAATTATGATGAGATGTTTTAACAAAGAGAAACAAAATCTCAAATAAGATAAAGAAATCAAAAACTGATAATTAAATGATAAAAAGGAAATCAAAACAATTAAAATCCACCGCAATATTGCTAGCTATAATTTGTAATTCCTTCACCCACCTCTACTTGTCTTGTTTCTTCTCCTCCGAACACAAAATGGAATTAGTCTTAGACAACGTTACAATTTCTACCTCAATAATTATAGTATCTTTCACCTTGAAGCCCTTTGATTCGTCAAAGAGATCACTTAGATGCATGAAGATTGGGAATCCCCAGCTTGGAATCCTGGCACAGAAACAGACACTAGCTGCAAAGATAAATTTTGAAGGAAAATTAACAAAAAGAAAAGAAAAGAAAAAAAAATAACCCAAAAAAAAAAAAAAGTTTCAATCCCTCTAAAAAGAAAAGCTCTAGCAGTAAACAAGCTCATCCAAATCAGCTGAGAGTAGGAATACAATTCTTACCTTCGCGTTCAAAGTGTTTACCATTGACTTCATCCCTTACCCTCACCTTGAATTTTGCATACAGTTTTTCAGAATCAACTAGGTTCAGATACAGAGCTAGGCTTTTGCCTTTTGACTTCCAATTTCCTTTGGGATAGAGAGAGAGCTTCCTGAATTCATTATAAAAAGAAACAAATAATAGCTTGCCTTAGAAATCAAACGAGCCAGTTTCAAATTCAGAACATCCAAGTTTTTTTTTATAAAAAAAAAAAACTTAAAAATGTTGATCATACCAGTTCCGCCCTCCAATCTTAAACTCGTCGGACCATAGATATTCTTCACTATCTGAAAATTTGTCAACCTTCCAAGTGTAAATTTTGTTACGTAGTAACTTTGTTGTGGACAGACACTCGCCTTTGCCTGAATATTTCATAACGAAAACCTCTGCTCCAAATACACAGGTGTCATTGATGAGGTACCCGTTTGAAGGATTTTGGAACTTCTTTAGAGAGAAATTTCTCAAAACCCCATTCTGCTTTATTCCCATGGAAACGCCTCACTGGTTCAGCATCTACATAATATATAGATATCTCTCTATTTAAATATTATGTTGCTATATCAGATTTCAGAAAATTGAATGCATAGTAGAGAAACTACCTTCGACAGTTAGGTACTTGTCGCGTATATGATCAAAGACGAATAATTTAAAGTTCACAATGATCTCCCAATCAGAAGGAAGATTAGCTGTGTCGGATACTGCGAGGTATAGTGAAATGTACTGATCTTTCCCCTTTCTTTTCTTATTCCCATTTGGATAGAATGACAATTTCCTGAAAACCCAAAAATACATAAATGTGATTTACTTGGTTTTGATGTAGAGAACATGTATAGACTGAAGAGTATGGAACAGAGAAAAAAAAAAAAAAAAACACACACCATTTATAGCTGCCAGCTTCAAAAACTCCTGATTCGTAATTTCCAATATTTTTCAAAAGCATAGAGAAAGACTGTATCTTGAAGATATAATGCGATGGCTGGACATCACGCAATGTTCTTTTAAGTTCTGCTACAGATTGAAGACGGACAAATATTTAACATCACCAGAAATAAAATATAACTTACCAACTGCGTCAATTATGTTAGATGACATTTTTTCTACTGAATGTAAAATGAAGGAATTTATAAAGTCTTGTGGCTTTATTGGTGATGACTTCTGCTAGGCTTAGGTGGTAAAATATTAAAGGACTCCATGTTTATATATGCATCCAGATCAATCTGGATGATTCAGTAAAAATTCACTTGGCTTGCTAAACGCCACTTTTCAAAATCAAAGTACTCTCCCACCAAATTCATTTACTTTTGTTCATTTGTTGAGGTTCTTTACCAAAACCTGGTTAAGTTGTGTATGTCCTGTTGAAGGATCTAAATATTAAAGTAACACCCACTCGAACAACTAAAGTTTTTAGAGTACATGGTTATCAACATGGTATCAAAGCTAAAGGTCTCGAGTTCAAACACCACCATCACCTAATTGAAAATTAAAAAATATGTGTTGGACAAAAAGAAGGCCACACGTAAAAGGCGTGTTGAATGATTTAAATATTAAAATTCCCCCGTTCTAACAACTTAAACTTTTAGAGCATAATGGTTGTTAACATGCATATGCAGATTTATACTTTTGGGCTTTGGACATTCATTGCATTTATTTTTTGGAGCTCAGTAGGGTGAATCAAAATGGTCAAAACAAAATAAAATCAAGCTTAAACTTCAACAATAAATAATATTCTTTTTCCTAGGTTGAGCTAAGCATTAAGCACTTTGAACTTCAAGCCAAAACCAAACAAGAAATGCATTCTCTCCCTTTTTTAATATATAACAAGTGAAAACTTCATACTTCCATATAGATTAGATTGTAGTTACTCTAAGAGTTATAAGAGAAGTTTTAAAACTTTCAACTCTAGAATTCCTATTGGTTAGAAATTCGAAAGTCCTTAACTAATTAACTGCATGGGATAATAATAATAATAACGTTAAGGAAATTAAAGTAATTAAAGATTATAAGTTTTAATAACCGTGATTTAGCCAAACAACACATTTAGGGTTATACTTATTGACGAAAAGACGTGATAAAGTTTATAAATATGTAGGTTGTGATCGATTAGGGGAAAAAATCAATCAAAAAAGTTCTCTTCTTGTCTCAAAAAACCTACATATTCTATCTGCAATCATATTCTCTCTCTGCAATAATATAGTCTACTCCTACCATACATATTCTCTATTTCTTATATTCAATTTTGGAGCAACGTGATATCAAAACTTGGTAAAAACTTCTCTGTGATCATGCACATAGGGAACAAATGGAGTTGTATTTTGGAGCTTTTGGTGGATTGTAATTACCTACACGTAAGGGAGATTTCAAAGGCTTTAGGACAGCGCGTGTTCATTTTCTGTTCTGATATAATTATATTTGTTGTTTAATTATTTCTAAATGTAGTTGTTTTATTATAATTATTCTCTTATTTTAAAAGATCTTTTCCATTCCCTAAATAGAAGTATTTTACAATCTGAAAACTAATATCCCTAAAAGTTACAAGATGAAGATAGTAAAGCTCGGAAGACAGATTATATCACACATTTCTCATAAAACAATGCTAAAAAGAACAGCAGCTTTATCCACATTCCTTAGATAATTGTAAGAGTCAAAGAAAATCCACATCTACCGAGAGAACTGGCATCCATAATGGAGTTCATGGAATTTAGGACCTTCAAGTCAAATCAACGATCACAAATGAACAATAAACAACAAATAACAAAGTTAAGAAAAAGAGAACTCTGAAATATGGCATTACACTTTCCACAATGTTTTTCTGCATGTATAGAAAGAAACGATATTATATTACATTTATTTATTAATGTAATGTAAAGGAATAAGAAAAATAAATAAATAAATAAATAACTTTGCAGGCTTTGAATAACTTACTATCCGCATTAGACATCCCTACTATGCTTTTTAGGTTTTGAACGATCACCGATGCCATGTTGAGATAGCGAAGCAGATACAAATGACTTCCTGTTTATACGAGCATATGGATCAAAAAAGTACCCACGAATATCAAATAATTCTACAATTTACTCTCTATCATGATACCTAATACACTGTAATCAATATAAACCCAAAATTCATAAGTTTCTTACCTTGGAATACTGACGGAGTAACAATAAATCAACTTTGAATCCAGAAAGTATAAGCCAAGAGGACTCTGAAAAGAATTATTAATTGCATGAAAGCCGCCTAACAGAACGTAGAGGAGGTATTTATAATACAAAAGTTGCATAACGAAACCTAACACATAAGGAAAGTCGAAAGAAAGACATAAGTTGCATAACGAAACCTAACACATAAGGAAATGTCCCTCTAACAATTACGAAAAGGAAAGTAGGAGTTACTTTCCATGACAGAAAATGCCGTTTTCAATCAAGAATGGAAATCACTGTTGAAAATATAAAATTACCTTAAATTCTTAATTATTAAAATTATCTTTTACCTTTTTTTTTTTTTTTTTTCCTTTCTCTTTTACTAATTAAATTCCTTTAAAGTTGTATTCCCTTTGTTCATGATTAATGGAATCTTAATTCTTTCATTTTTCTTTTTTTCTTTTTATTTTTCCACAACTCAATGTCGGTATCACATTCAAAATAATATAAAGACCCGAGGACAGTTGTAATTTTATTTTGGTGAAGATATTATCAATTAATAATTTTTTTCTTTTTTATTTTTTATATATTTGTCTCATATTTATCTTTCTTATACTACTTTTTGATTAACATATTATTTGGCAATGATTTTTTTTTTTCTTTTCTTATTTGCCTTTTGATTTGAACAATCTATATTTATTGATTTTTTTTAATAAAAATTCAAGTACACTTTTGAGGAGGCCCGAGATGACATGGGCCGGATATGACTTGCAAACGCGACATCCGGTCCGTACAGATGGGTCAGGCCCATATAAAGACACTGCCATATGGGCCGAACGCGAATAAGCCCATCAAAGATGACCAGGACTCATGGAGGAATGGGCCTAGATCCAGCAGTCCATCAACATTTGTAAATATCTATAAATAGGAGAAGTAATGGAAAGAAAAGGGAGATATTTTTTGGTCGAAATGCAAGAATTCTAGAGAGAGAAAGGGGGAAGGAATTTCTTGTATCTTCAATTGGCGCCGTCTGTGGGAAGCATGGAAGATTGGTTGATCAATGATTAATATCGCGTGGATTCAGACCAATCCGGGTGATCGAGACTCGATCTTTGGGAGTTGGATCCAGATCTGAGCGATTGTGACCTACTCTGGAGGAATTTTAGTTCCTGTTGCGTTGGCAGAAGTGGCTTCAGATCTACGCAACAACGAGTTGTTCGATTGTGGCAGGATCTGACGGATTTAGAATTCGGACAATTCAGATCTCGTCAACCGTGAGCATAATTCGGAGAATTCGAAACCAGATCTGAATAATTCCCACTCACGAAGTTCGGATCTACTCGCGAACTTGAGATTAATGCCTTTACTCCGTTCAGGAATAATGATAGGTGAAAGCTCCAATCCGATGGAGGCTGTCCAGCAAACAAAGCTTGAGGAGTTGATGAACTTGATCAAGGCTCTCAAAAAAGAGAATGCAGAATTGAAAGCTGGAATGCAACATCAGCAAATGCCCGCAGTTTCGCGTCCACCTCCGGCCGGAGAAGGAGGTGTTCAATCTAATATCGCGCATCAAGGCGAGCAGGACGAGAACAGTCAGTCAGCTCTCCACCGTGACGAAAGGAGGATGGATGATTTGCCGCCAAATGCTCGTCGAGTTGAGGATCACGAAGGATCGACTCAGGTTGATCCGCGACATGAGCAGATCAGACAGAACGAAGCCATGACCTTCGATCTGCATCAGGAAAGGTTCAACCGAGAGGAGGTGATAGAGGTTGATCGCCGCCAAGTTGCGTCGCCTTGGCAAAGAGAGCTCATAGAGGAACGGTCGTTCGATCCGTCCTATCGGCCCTCCATGGCTACAATCACTCATCGCGGTTCTGAGAGCAGAACCGTAGCTCACAGAGCTACCACTGGGCGCCAAAGAGAGAATGAAGCACTCCGATCCGCGGCTCGAACGGTTGATTCACCATTCACTGACGAGATCCTGAATGCCCCGCATCCAAGGAAGTTTGCTATGCCAGTATTTATTCTGTTTGACAGAACAACCGATCCGATCGATCATGTGTACCATATCCAGTTGAAGATGGCCCTGAATACGGAAAATGACGCTTTAATGTGCAAATGTTTCCCTACAAGCCTAGCTGGACCGGCGCTCAGCTGGTTCAAGAACTTGCCTAGGAGCTCCATTGGTAGCTTCCGAGATCTGTGCGATCGGTTCATAAGTCAGTACTATGGGAACAAGTGTCCGCCAAAGGACATCTCAAGCCTATTCACAATGAGACAGCACAAAGATGAACGTCTCCAGGCTTTTCTCACCAGGTTTAATCTCACTAAGAGTATGGTGATCGATTGCCACCCTTCTACAGCGGTTCAAGCCTTCAAGTTAGCCATGACACGTGGCACGCCGTTCCATACCAGTCTGGTAGTGAACACGCCGACGACTATGGATGAACTCAATGAAAGAGCCGACGGCTTTGTGCGCCTAGAAGAAGAGGAGGCAGCCAATGCTCGGACAGCGTCGCTCATGTCGACCGAGGAAAAGTCCAAGGCAAAGATCAGGCAGAAGCAGGCTCAGCCGCAGCGTCAGACCTCCTGGAAGGCAGAAAAGAGGTCCAGGGAGGAAGAGCTTATCACTCCGCTGAAGGTTACTCTGGCGAGGCTATATCAGGAGAACAAAGATAAGTTTCATCCACTACTGCCAATTAGGCAACCCCTCGAACAGAGGGATCAGACTAAACATTGTGCTTTCCATTCCGATTTCGGTCATCAGACTAATGAATGCAGGAATTTGAGAAGGCAAGTGGAGATGTTGATAGCTAGAGGCGAGTTCGCGAGTTATGTTCAAGGCTCGGCGACAGAGCAGAATCGACC